TAAATCATCGTTCTTTTTGGGAATACATACGAGTGGAATCTTAACGTATCGAAACAGTAATTAAATATTCGAGGAATAAAAGTAATCAATGATCAATATAAATTGATCAATGAGAAATAACAATGAGATAATAACAAAACTGTTAATTTGAAACTAATCATTGTTCACACCGTCAACACAAGCAATATATTTTTTTAATCATTCTATTGGGATGATCAGTTCTTTCAAATAAAATTGATAACCTTTTAAACTTTTTGTATCTCCAAAACCGCTGAGCCTGCCTTTGACAATTTATCAACACGAATCGAATGTTTTTTAAAATCCTTTAAATCGGTTGATCCGCTCTGATGTCGTCGACAAAAAATTATAGACTCTTAAAAAAATGTCATTTTGACATTTCAGAACCAATTTTGAAAATTCAAAAACTGATCGAAAGTTTTCAGTTGGCATCGTGCTGAATAGTTTTTCGTCAAGATCGACCGCACAGTTTTTCGCAATTTATTATAACAATCTTTTTTCAAAAAAAAAACTTAGAGATAAAAATTTATAGTCTCATCTAACATAAATTTTATGGAACTACGATAAATGATTAATTATAAAAAGTCAATAAATTTTAGAATAATGGGACGAGCTTTTAGACCATGTGTACCTACTATGTGATGTGCGGATTTGTGCACTCAAATTAGTGTGATTATAGATTTTTTAAATCTAATTAATCACTTGCAGATTGCAAAATTTTGTCTAATTTGTTAAAAGCCAGTGATTTCCAACCATTTTTCATTCATAATGATCGAAAAACAAAAAACAAAAATAACTAACAAATAAAAAAAGAAACTTCTTCGGGATAATTATTTAATTTTAGTGCTTTTCTAATAGCTGGAAAACAAACCATTTTTGCCCAAGAGTTTGTTTATTTTAACTTGTATAATTTTTGTTTATTTCAATGGTCTATTTATCTGATAAAAATTAAATCTCATATACAGTTATAGTAATCGCAAAAAAATCGAAAACAAAAATGTTTATATATCTTATCTTTCAAAACAAATTGGATGCACACGTCAATCCGGAAATGCAAATAGTACAAACAGCCGAAAAATTAAAACGCCTGAAAAGAAAATGGCCCAGCGATCTACCGTCAACAACATAATTTCCCTGTTTCGCACAGGAAAATTTCAAACAAGTTATTTTTAATTATTATTTATTATTGATTACCGTTTTTATTATTAATACTATTATTTTAATTATTATTTATTCATTCATTTATTCTATTTCTTTTCTTTAATTTCCTTTATTCTATTTTTCTTTTTTTTGATTTTGATTTTCAATACCATAACTTTTAACTTATAGATTGTATTGTAATCTGATTGTTAAAATTAACAAAAAAAAAAAAATATATATATATATATATATATATATATATCTTTAAAGATTTCTGTACATTTTGGCAAATTTTCGTCGACGATTTCGCGCACATGGATTAACCAATTTGAAAAATTCAGAAAACATTTGACATGTATTGAAGTTAAGAAGACGTGCCGATTAGTTTTTGGCAAAGGCAGGATAACCCGTTTTGAAGATACGGGGCAAAAAGTGCCAAACTGATTACATTTTTAGGAAGGCAATTCTAGCGGTTTTGGAAATCCAGTAAAAAAGCACAACAAAACCCATTTGGCATATGCACATCAAATTATCAGATATTTTATAAAGATTTTAATTAATAGTGAGTTAAGTTAGACTGCAACGCGGCGTTTACGCGCTTCGATATTTCGTCTCTAAGCCGCTAACGCAACGTGATTGCTTTGAAAAAAAGTTCAAAATTTTCAACAAAATATTTCGAATTAAAAAAAGTCAATTTCTTTCACTTTTTTTAAAGCTTTTCAAAAATTTAAATTACGGCACGAAAAGTTTCAGCAATTTGCCTTTAGGCACGATACCATGCACCACTAGTCAACTTACAACTGGTAAAAAAGGGGGGCCTCGCAAACGAATTTCGCCGACGCCCACAAATGGCCTAGCGCCGCCACTGAGTGTATTTTTGTGTAATTAATTTTTTGTAAGTATTTGTATTTATGATTTTATATCATTTTCCTTCTACATTTTTTATAAAATCTTTTAGTTGTTCCACTGAATGATGGTGTCGATGAAGACCAAAACGCATGGCTAAATAAAGTTGTTACAACTACTTTAGTTGTTTTACTTGGTGTTACTGCCCGAATCAAAAAACCCATCAATATATATATATGTGTATATATATATATATATATATATATATATATATATATATATACGATTTAGTAGTTAATTTTGATGTTGAGATATATGAGTAAGTTCTTGAGGGCGATACATCTAACAAAGAAAAGGCAAAGATTTATAAAATAATCTTTAATTCCAAACGTTTCGAAATACAATTTGATGTCATCATCAGTGGATATTGAACATGGTACTTTATATCTAAAAATGTGTACACATCACAGATTAAAGTATTTTGGCACAGAACGGAGGCTATGTAATAGCTATGAATCCCGAGGCAAGAGTAAGTGTCCTATTACAAAAATTCATGATTATTGACTGGTTGGTTGCATCAATGTTAGTGCAAAATTCTGTGATGTGTACACATTTTCAGATATAAAATACCATGTTCAAAATCCACTGATGATGACACTGATGATCAAATTGTAAGTCGAAACATTTGGAATTAAAGATTATTTTATAAATCTTTGCATTTTTCTTGTTTGATGTATCGCCCTCAAGAACTTACTCATACATATATATATATATATATAAATATATACAAAGAAAAGCGCCACTGGATTTAAGCAATCAACTCTCCTGAGAAAAAATGGAAATAACTTAATCATTATTTATAAGAAATTATTTAATAAGTAAATATTGTAAATTTTATATCGAAAAAACAACTACTGAGTTGTTTTTTCCAACAAGTCAAAGTAGTATACAATGTACCTTTTCGGCGAACTATTGTAAATCATTAAATTTACTGAATGTCCTATACTGGACAGTTGTAAATAAAAGAGTTAATAAAAAAAAAAAAAAAAAAAAATGTATTTTGCATGAAGACTAATTGATGGAGCGCAATTCAATCAATATCATTTGTATGTAACACTTCACAGTTCAATTCTCAAAAATATCTAATTAAATGATAATAAATGAAAATAAAAAGTTGCCTGCAATTACAATGAAACATATTTGAACATCCATGCAAAAAAACTATTATACCTTTCTGCCAACATTTCGCATGGAAAAAGCTGTAAAAACCATTTTTTCAATACTGCATTTTCTTTCACTAATGGTAATACTGAAGATATTACGTCACATAGTGATACATCTGGTATATCCGATAACTCAGATAAAGCTATATAGATTTTTTTAAATTGTGTTGAATGTTCTGACAAGTAGTTCTAAAAAAAAATCAAGAAAAAAACTCTTTTTCATTATATAATAATGACAAAACAATAATGTTACTTAAACAACTCTATAAGATGCACTGCTAATTCAAAATATAAAAGAATTAGGTTGCAACATGTATTTTGCATGAATACTAGTTGCATACCTATAGATATATTCAAGTTTCAGTTCTTGTCAATCGACAAGAACTGAAACCTTTTTAAATCTTAAATAAATCTGCAAAATACATAACAAATTGGCTTGACCGAATGTTGTAAAAAGTAATTAAGATATTCTTCAAATGATATTTTTCAAACATAAATCTTATAAATCATATACCATAATATATATCAAACTGTTAATTGCTAAGAAATGGCTGATTAAATAATTATTATGCATTGTTAGTTAAGAGAAAACATATACACCATCTTCACAAAAAACTATTCAGCACAATCCTCAACTAAAATCTTTTAATAGTTGTTTTTTTATACTTCATTTAACTATTACATTACAAAGAAACATTTAACTAATAAGCGTGCAAAATTTGTCAACATTATCATTTATTGAGTAATATCAAATGGCTTGACAATTTGGGTGAAACATCAAATAGCACTCACATACACATGCACACACACAAGTTTTCCAATTGTAGCATCAAAGCAAAAGTTAAAAAAAAATCAATATAATTTTGAAAAATACTTACAGTGGTTATTTCAACAAATTCATCCATATTGGAATTTAAACATATCTCCATAAACTTTAAAATTCTTTCTGCTTTATTGGGTAAAAGTAGCACAAGAAATTCTTTCAATAGATGTGGATAAGTAGGAAGAAATATTGTCTCCAATTTTTTATAGAATTCTGAAGGGTTATCATTAGAATTCACCGTCATCACAATTTCGTGAAATCTATTTAAATCATTAGGATTTTTAGTACATAAATGATTCTTTACATGTTCATAATAAACATTTACAGTATCTGGAAAAAACAAAAAAAATTAATTTAACAAATTACTTGCTAAAATTTTAATAATGCATATTTATGTCATACTCCATACCATATTCTGGAGACAACACATTCTCAATTAGTGGAAAATTATGAAGAATTGACCCATCTGATTTTGTTGTGGGTAGGTTGACAAATGACCGTTGTTCAGGCTTCTGGAAATATAATAAAATGGGAATGATTCATGATTGATGTAGATTGAAAATTACAGCAATAGAAATTATATGAAATCCGTACATTTTAGCTTTCGTTTAAGCCTTCACGTTTTATTTAAAAAATAAGAAAAAATTAACAATATCTATTCAACTATAAATACTTTTCATTTATTGATATATGTTATGCGAGGCACTACTGTATATATTAACTGAATATATATATATATATATATATATATATATATATATATATTGAAAAATTATAATCAAGCTTACATAAACAAATATTACATGCTTCAATATTTAATCCAATTCAGAAATTGCAAATAAAAAATAATATTTACACAAACCTTTTTCAAATGGCAAATCTCTGCATCAGCCAAATAATTATTAGATTTATCATGATCACCTAAAATAGTATCGGTAATCATTTCATCTGAACTCGTAAATGGAGAGCTTTTAATATCTTGTAAATTCAAGAAGTTTGATACCAATGGCAGCATTTTTGGAAAGTATATTGAAAAAAAGTAATCCAATGTGAGTATATGAACAAATGCTCTCTTGATACATTTTTTACTATGGTTCACATTATATACTAAGTATATATTATTCAGAAGACTCTTGAAGTAACTTTTAATGTAAAATTTAAGTTTACATATTACTTGAAAACTGCTACTTTTATGATTTTCACTATCACTAGATAAGTCTTTTTGCACTGGTGTGAAATAATCTGTTAACAATTTTTGTTTACTACAAATCTTTTTTGTGGATGGTTTTCCACATTCACATCGTAATGATTCAACATTAACTATCTTCAAAAATGTATTATTCGTTGCGTCATTCTTTAAAATTGGAGAAATCTGATCTCTAATATGAAAGCCCAAATTATTTTTTGCGATGTCTTCATTCTTTGATATATGATCCATGGATTGCTGAGATGATGTAAAAATTAAATTATTGATTGGAGTTGAGATGTAAGTAATCATTGGCATTGATGAGAATCCATTTTTTGTTGATTGTGGTGTGACTGGTGATGAGTTTGAGTTTGAATTCTTAGCACCAGGTGATGCAAATAGAAGCGGCATGCTATTAGATGGAGGATTCACAGATTCATCACACACTGATAATGAATTATTATTATCTATAATGTTAATAGTTTCTGATAACTTATCCGAAATAATTGTTACGTCCTCAGAAAATGACTGTCCTACTTCAACTTTATATAAATTATCTGACTCATTGAATTTGTGTGGAGTAATTTTTATAGGGTGTTGCACAAAACTAGATGAAGTTTTCTTCTTTTTTACCTGCAATATTAAGTCAAGCTCACAATATATTACAAATTATCATTATCAACAAATAACACAATATATAATTTCACAATCATCTATTCTATTCTTATATTTTATGAAAATATAAATATAATAAACATTTCTAAATATAAAAAATATAGACATTTAAAAATTATTCACAATCAATAATTGAATTAAAAACTCAAATAATCTAATTTCTCAAGAACTTGTAGTATAAAGGCATATTCTGTTAAAAAACTTACTTCTACAGGAGGTTTCAAGATATGAGTCCTCCAAATATAATGTAACTTATCAACTGGCTGTTTCCGAGGAGTTGCTATTAAATCTGGATCAAACGGAAGTAAAATATGTTCTGTAGGAGGTGGTTTATTATGGCGAAAATAATACTGAAAAATAATGGTTATATTTAATACCTGTATATTATTAGAAATTAAGTATATAAAAATGTTATATAAACTCAATCAAAAACTATATATTATATTGGGCACACATGTGGCGAATGCTTGACCACTGCAATCCCTACTATGGTGATGAGCCTTTTTGTAGGCAAGACACTAGCTCTACACTGTACATGTGTGAATACTATGCATTTTAATTACTAACAAAGTATCAGTTTATACATATACATATTACTTTAGAGTAAAGTATGCACACAGACCCTGAGTGATTCTGGGAAATAGTTTTTGCTGTCTGACATTTCCGATTTTAATGACTTAATCTTACTTAATATATTATTACAAGAAAAGAGTTTTCCACCAATTTTACACAACAGAACATATAAAGATGATGTATAAAACAAACTAGTGGGGCACATGGCATCGTGCCTTAAGGCAAATTGCTGAAACTTCCCGTACCAAAAATCATTTTTTTTTTAAAAGATTAACATTTTTAAAAAAAAATTTACTCTGAAAGAATTAGATTTTTGAGAAACTATAATCTTTTGACAAAAACTTACTTTTTTTGAAAAAAAAAACTTTGAAATTCTGAACTTTCAGAGCAATCGTACTGCTTTAACTGCATAGAGACGAAATATCAAAGCGCGTAAGCGCTGCGTCGCCGTCTAACGGATAAACACTGGTACGGAACCCATAGGAATGTAAACAAAATTTATACTTATTGTTAAAATCTCTATATAATATCTGATAATTTGATGTGCATATGTCAAATGATCATTTTTGACCGCCAAATGGCTTTTTTTCTACTTTTTTTACTAGATCTCCGAAACCGCTAGACCTACCTTCATGAAAATTTGATCAGTTCTTCATCTTGTTAATACAAGTAAAATGTATTTTGAACTATTCAAATCGGAAGCTCCGTCCTCTTAAAAACTGAGTTACCGTTTTTGGCACTTTTTGCCCCATATCTCCGGAACGGCTAGACCTGCCTTTGCCAAAAACTAATCAGCACGTCTCCTTATCAATACGAATCGAATGTTTTTTGAATTATTCAAATCGCTTCATCCGTGTTTCCGAAATCGTCGACTAAAATTTCGTATCCGAACACACACACATAACCGCACGCACACACACACACACACACGATAGTTCGCCGGATTGCCCATATTGTTTGGGCAAAATCGAAGATGCTGAGCATGTGTTCTTCATGTGCCCGCGATTTGGTGCTCTACGGGATGATGTGGAAGAGACATTGAGATGCAGAATTACCCCAGGTAATGTTGTTGAAGTGATGCTAACAAGTGATGCTGCTTGGAACGCCATAGACAGATTTGCGAGAGACGTTTTAATGGAACTGCGTTCTATAGAGAGAGAAAGGGCGAATGGGACTTCGCCCATTTAAAAGATAAGTATAATGTTTATGAATTATAACATTGTTTAGAACAAGTTAAGAATTGTAATATTCTAGATCCTCCCCCCACGAAGTAATGCCTAACGGCGGTTTCCGTGGGGACCAGAGGCAAGGGCAAAGCGGAGGTTTTAGTCGGTATTATACCAGGGCGGTATCGAGTCCGACATACCCAGACAGAAGACCGGTCTGGGATGCATAAAGGCATTTCCTTCGCTATACAAAAAAAAAACACACACACACACATACATCCGTTTTTTCTAAGGTATGCCAAAATGTTCAGAAGGTTTTGAAACGTGAAGATATATAAACATTTTCATTTTCGATTTTTTTGCTATTACTATAACTTGCCCTACGGGAAGTTAAAAAACTTATTTCTAAATATCAATATTTTGTTGTCAAATTTAAGAACGTAATAAACAATGTATGAAGAAAATCATACAGGTTAATTTTTCATTCAACATTTTGATACAAATATTCACATTAAATTTTAATTTTCAAATTGGTAATGTAATATGTTATTGCATTATAAAATAACAATATTAAGCCCAAAGGTTACTTATATGAAATCAATTCTGTTCTAAATATTATAAATTGTAATTTAAAAAGAATTGTGCAAAGGTAGCTTTCAAACCAAACAGAATTACTCAGTACAAATTGTGAGAAAGTACCTTCATTTGCCCCTCCTGTGTTCATTAAAAAAGTACAAAATAGTAGTAAGTAGAATATTAGATTTCAAATTAATAATCTGCTTTAAAAAATTAACACAATATATGATTATATGTATTGCGCTTACGAAGTCGCATTTAAAAAAAAATCTATAATGAACGTGTTGATAATAATTTTGAACAGTCATATCAAATTAGCAACATTTAATTATTTTTTCTCATTTTTCAATTCCATTTTATTTCGTTAATGTATATATATATATATATATATATATATATATATATATACATATATACTAGCAAACCCGACGAACTCCGTTTCGCCACCAGATGGTTTTGTGAGAAAGATGAAGATGAAAGAAATTTTTTGTTTGTTTTATATTTGAAAAGGAAAAATTTAATTTTAATATACAACAGTAATGATTTTATTTCGATTACAAAAATGAAGTGTTTTTTAGTTGAACTTCTCTAAGTAAATGAAAGTGAATCCGCAAATTATCTGTTTCATTGAAGTGCTCTTTGGTAAACCACATTTTTTGTTTTTTGGTCTGACGTTAACACAAACAAAGCGGATGGTTTTCCAACTTGTGAACAGGCAACGTATAACTGCCCATGTGAAAAACAATGATTTTCTAAATAATCTATTTGAAATTTATCCCGCAAACACTAAGCGATTGGCCTTGCGACTTGTTATTGCGAACGCAAGGCAAACTAGAAATTGCAATCGTTTGAAAAGTCAAACGGAAGACCAGTCGGAATCATTGGTATGTCACCAAATCGTCAGCAATTTTTGATTGAATGGTGAAATTCAGTGCGTGTACATGAAGTGCTGCCCTGCAATTAGTACGACCCTGCCGTACCTCGTGATTGCCCTGCATGATGCGCACGCATCAAGATGGCTGCCTCCGTCCTGTATAAAAGAAACGGCCATCGAAGCAAAAGGCCTCTTCAACCATCTCGGCCAACAAAGACCAATCAATACACAAATTGTATTAAATAATAATAAATAGTATTAAACAAAATCAATCATGGTCGGATGGACCTTTAATATTTGTTGTGTATGCGTAGGTAATCTTTGTAGCCACAAGGTTCTTAAAATATTTTCATCTATATTTCATTTCATTATTTTCAATAATAGACCTCAAGAAAGCATACCAGCAGATACCTGTTTACGATAAAGATATTCCCAAGACGGCAATTACAACACCTTTTGGTTTATTTGAGTTCCCCTTTATGACATTTGGCCTACGTAATGCAGCGCAAACTTTCCAAAGATTTATGGACGAAGTAACCAGTGGATTTCCAACGTTTAGCAGATTATGGTATAGTAGTAAACCCATCTAAATGCATCCTAGACGCTAAGGAAGTTACGTTCCTAGGATACTGCATTACAGAGCATGGCACAAAACCCCCAAAAGAGAGGATAACCGCATTGTTAAATTTTCCAAAACCAAAAACTATAAAAGGATTAAGGATATTCTTAGGCATGATAAACTTTTATCGAAATTTTTGTCCGAATGCTGCCAGATATCAAGCAGATTTACAAGTTTTAATATCAAAACCTAAATCGAAAGACACAAGCCAAATTGACTGGGATGAAAAACTTACAGCAGCTTTCGAAGAAGAATCTCGCTGAAGCTACCTTACTAACGCATCCATTGCCTGATGCAGAACTTGCTTTATTTACAGACGCTTCAGACAAATCCGTGGGTGCAGTGCTACAACAATATACAAACGGTGAATGGAAACCTCTCGCTTATTTTTCGAAGAAAATTTCTGAAAAACAAAGAACGTGGCCAGCGTACTACCGCGAGCTTTTAGCAGGGTATAAAGCATTTCAATACTTCAAGGATCAAATTATTGGTCGTAATTTCATTTGGTTCATCGACTACAAACCACTTGTGTATGTTTTTCAGCAAAAACACGACCGCCTACCACCAGTTCAGCTCAATCAGATAACATATATGTCACAATTCACGACAGATGTTAGACATGTGAGCGGGACAAAGAATATTCCGGCTGATTTGTTTTCTAGAATTGAATCAATCAGTTCCCAATTGGAAATTACCGAAATAGCAAAAGCTCAAAAGGAGGATATGGAGCTAAAACAATATTTATCGCTGAAAACTGCCTTACAACTTAAGAAACGAAAAATTCCAGGAACAAACTACTCCATATACTGCGATACATCTCAAGGAAGAGAACGATCATTCGTACCTGTAAGTCTAAGAAAGAAAATTTTTGACAGCCTGCATAATTTAAGTCACCCAGGACCTAGACCTTCAATAAAACTAGTGACACAGCGCTTCGTTTGGCCAAACATCCGCCGGGACTGTAGGTCCAGAGAATGTTTGAAATGTCAGCGGAGTAAGGTAAGCAGGCACACCGTAACACCCATTAAGGAATTCAATGTGCCAACATCAAGGTTCATGCAGGTACATATTGACATTATAGGTCCATTACCTCTATGCAAAAATTATCGTTATCTGTTAACTGCCATAGACCAATACATTCGATGGGTTGAAGCATATCCAATTCCGGACATTACATCAGACACGGTAACACATGCATTTCTTTTATGTTGGGTCTAACGTTTCGGAGTTCCAGCACAAGTCACGAGTGATAGAGGAAGACAGTTTGACGCCTCACTATTCCGAAATGTCGCACAAGCATGTGGAATCCACTTGATACAAACATCAGCTTATCACCCGCAATCAAACAAGTGCTGCCCTGCAATTAGTACGACCCTGCCGTACCTCGTGATTGCCCTGCATGATGCGCACGCATCAAGATGGCTGCCTCCGTCCTGTATAAAAGAAACGGCCATCGAAGCAAAAGGCCTCTTCAACCATCTCGGCCAATAAGGACCAATCAATACACAAATTGTATTAAATAATAATAAATAGTATTAAACAGCAACCACTTCATATTTCTTGGCGGCAAGAATTGCTCGTTGACTTAACCAAGCATAATTCTGATAATTCTCACTAATGTCATTACTCGAACTTTTAATTACGGTGCGTAAAGTTCCAGCAATTTGCATTAGGGCACGATGCCATGCACCATTAATTTAGGCTCTTAGCTATAAATCTTGCGGAGCCCGAGACCTTTCCAAAGAATGCAAAATGTCGAAATCGGTTCGTGCGTTCTGAAGTTATTTCGTCAGGAAGGAAAACCCGACTTATATATATATATATATATATATATATATATATATATATATATAGAAGATATATACATTTTTCCAATTCCATATATACAGATTTCCAATTTTTGGGTGATTACTATAACATGCTCTATGGGATGCTAATAAGCTTTTATTAACTTCCTAAAGGAGAGGTTTGTCTTTCCAAAAAATGTTATGTCTTCTCGACGCTTGAATTCATTCTAATTGTTTAGCACCAAATTTAAAACTAAGCATGTGTGCGTATGTATTGCTGTGTGTATGTATGTGAACCGATTTTTGACTTTTAGTCGACGTTTCAAATAAAAAACAGCTAAATATATTTTAAAAATTTATAAGCTATTTGATGTAACTCGATAGATAATCAGTTTTGCGCAACGATCGTCCAAGCTTCTTTGTCATTATCCGAAAAGTGCGAAATTTGATGCATTTTTGGCAAACAACGATCAAGTCGTTCATGATTTATTGTAAAATTCTCTTTTTTGCAATTTTAATGAAACCTTGTATGAAATAGAATGGTCTTAATGAACATACATAATATTAGAGCCCCACAATGAGTGATTCAATTATAAAAATCAAATAAAGTTTAGTTTAATCAGTCGTGCTTTTCGAAATACTCCGTGTATGCATTAAGCACATGTTCCCTTTCCAAAAATGTGTAAAATTTAAACAATTTGTCAAAAATAACTAACATATTATTTAATTAATTAACAATTACTAATTTGCCCAAATTGGATATCCCGCAACAAATTCTCACATTGTAATGCTGTTCAACAACTATAATTATAGCTCACTCATAAAACAATGTACTGATATCTTATTGATTATTAAGTTTATTTTTTACACATGTCGGGAAGTTCATGCAAATTGCCTTAAGGCAAAATGCTACTTACACCTAATTTATATTTATTTTTCTTCCAAATATCATCTCCATACATTGCATAATCATTGCTTTCAAACATTTTGATGCATTCGTTCTAACAATAGAAAATCAACAAGCCCAACAAAATGTCATATTATCAGTCAAACTATGCTTGCTAATTGAAACTGTAAACATATATTTAGAATATGTTTATCAAAACAATAAGGGATTATTAAAGGTATGATATTTAAAATAACCACCATCTTTTACTAACCTTGATTGGGTTATCTTTCTTTGATTTAACTAATCTGTTTCTTATTTGGCGATATAATGTTTTAGCACTTCGACCATTCTTTAAATATTCTTCTATAAGTTGTACAGCATTGAACAAACTATAATTTCGCCTTGGTCCTTTTTTATATAGTTGGGGATTATTTTGCATGTATTTATAAAATAAATGTAATTCGATGGCTACCACCCTGCAATTTATAGAAAGGAACTTCATTAATAAGAAATCATGTTAAAATTTTATTTTAGAAAATAAAAAGCATGTGCATAAACATATTTTCCTTTTTTTTTTGAAAATCAATTGATGGAAATCAAATATCCAAATTATTATCTATAACTTTAAAAATAAAAAAAAAACTTATTTTTTATCTATTACTTTATAATAATACTTCAACATCTTTCATGAAATAACTAATTTAGTAAAATAAACAAGCATCACTTACTGTTGCTCAGAAAGTAAGAATTCCTTTACACCACCATTGCTCAAATCTAACCGAAAGGGTATTTTTGGCAATAATTCTGGGTAAATAAATACTTTACTATCACAAATGACATCCATCATTTCGGGAGGAAACTTACTGTAGTATCTATTGTGACTTAACTTATTTGCTCTCCTGCACAAAGATAACAAATCTGAATATATTAAAATCATAATAATAATGATATTAATGGTGTGATCGCTTGAGAGGAGCTACATAAACTAACAGTATCTCCAAATTGATTCTATAATATATTCTATAATAACAAAGTTTATTAGATATTATTGTTATCAAAACTATATAACCAAGTAAACAAAGAAGATCAAACAACACATTCATTTAAATAAAATAGCAAAGATTTAAGTTAAACCAAGTATTACTAAAGCTTTGCTATATAAATAAAATTTTATTAACCCCTTCTGGTACGATTTAATCTTGAAAAGCTGTGCATAAAATAACAATTTCTTATTAAAAATTTTTATAACCTGATATTAAATACAATACTTATACAAATAATAGTTGATTTAATTCTTAGAGACTAATAAAAATAGTTGCATACTTACGATTTATTAATCTCGTTTTCTATAAATCTGAAATTTAAGAGCATTCATTGAACAAATGACAGTTACATAATACAATTTAAAGAATAATCTACTTACCTAAATATATTTTTAGTTTCTTCATTGTCCTTCGAAAGTCTTGATTGCCAAGATTCACAAAGCTCTAATGCAGGTTTTAAATTGTGCGTTGATAGTATGGTTTCCCCAGAATTAGTATCAGCAAGATTATGCTAAAATAAAACATACAATGGTATAAACAAAAATTATTTGAAAGGAATTGAAACAAAAATTATTTGAATTATTTGAAATATTTGGAATGCATACAAACATATATCTATAATAACTATAATATATAAAATTAGTGATAAAAAAAAGAAACATTTTAAAATAAATATTTTAAATAAGTAATATAAATAATAGTTCTTTCCAACATAACCTCATATTACGGATAGAAAATGGCGGAAGCAAAAAAGCACCTAATATGCATTCAACCTAAAACTAAATAGGATATAAACCCAAAAATAATCTAATAAAATAAAAAATAATAATATTTCAAACGCTGAATTCAAAATCAAGATAATAGATAAATATTTACCAAATTTTGTTTGCAAATGTCAGCAAGAGCCCACAACTCAGGATGTCCATAAAGTTGTAAAAAATGTTGTGTGCTTAATTGCACATGTTGTCTTAGCTGCTGAGCAAGTATTAAACGTTGTGTTGTTGTCATGACAGAATTTGTCAAATCAAGATTATCGATAACTTCAATTGTAATTGTTTGAATACTTTGATCCGCTTCCCCACCTTCAGTTGGAAACTACATTTGTAAAATATAAATTATTATTATATCAAGTTGTATCTAATAATTAAAATTATTAAATTGCTCACAGATGCCTCATCTGTTTGGGTTTCACAAGAAATGATTTCATTTTCATTCATGGTAAGATATTGGTTTTCATCAACATTTTGAATTGGATTTTCAATTGTGTTGCAAAAGGAGTTCATATCTGGTAATGAATTCATATCCAATAACTCTGCAACTAGATCACTCAATTCCCTTCTTGAGACAGTAACTTCTTGATCTTCTCTTAACTCCTCTTTATCAACTATAAAGAAAAACAACAAGTGGTACATGGCATCGCGCCTTAAGGCAAATTGCTAAAACTTCCGGTACCAATAATTGAAAATTTTAAAACAGATTCCATTTTTTTTCAGAACTTTGAATAACATTTTTAAAGTAGAACTTCTTTAGGCGCGACTAGGGTTTTAATCCGTACAAATGTAACGGAAGTTCGTTACTGCTGATAAGATAAGAGTCGAGTGCCAATGATTCGTTCATTCATTTCTATACGGGTCGTTTATGATTAGTCGTCCCGTATGTGAATAGAGATCTGTCGTATGCTATCGACAAGGAAATCGGCATAGATAAATAAACATTTTAAAGTTAAATCGTAGTACAAATGTTGATTTAATGAAACATTTTTTCATTTGGCAAAGGCAAATTGATGGAACTTATCGTACCTTAATTAAAAATTTTGGTACGTCACCCCAAAAAAATTATCCAAAATTTGTTGTACATATGTCCAATAAACATTTTTGACCGACAAATGACATTTTTTAACTTATTTTTATTGAGAGTCCATAACCGCTGGACCTGCCTTTCCAAAAATCAGTTCTTCATCTTGTCAATACAAGTAAAATATTTTTTGATTTAGTAAAATCATACGCTCCGTTCTCTTAAAAACTGAGTTACCGTTTTTGACACTTTTTGCCCCGTATCTTCGAAACGGCTAGACTGGCTATGCCAAAATCTAATCAGCACGTGTCCTTATTAATAGGAATCGAATGTTTTTTGAATAATTGAAATCGGTTGAACTGTGTTCCCGAAATCGTCGACAAAAATTTGTATTCGCAAACACACACATACATCCATTTTTTTAAGGTATGCCAAAATGTTCAGAAATATCTGAAAGAAAAGATATATAAAAATTTCCATTTTAGTTTTTTCGAATGCTATAACTTACCCTACGGAAAATTAAAAAAAAAATCATAAAAATAACGTTTTTTTTTCTTCTTTCATTGACCAAACTCAATTACTATATATTTTTATATATTAATGTTAAATGTCAAATATAATTATTCGAAGTCTATATAAATCTACATATTACAAAATTTTACAATTTAATACCGTAGTTTATTGTTTTTTTTATTACTAGTGATAACATAATAAAAAATATGGATGTTTTTTTTAAGTAAAAACATTTGTTAAAAACCTAAGTTAATGATAATTTGAATTTTCATTGAAGTTTTTTTTTTAAATAAAAACATTTTTTAACTTCCCGAAGGAGAATTCTGAATCGATTAATTTTCGGTAAAGATCGGCCGTTTTATAAAGTGTTGAAAAAAATTTTTTGCGAAGACTTTTAAGAATTTTTTTTGACGTTAGATACCATAGTTTTATAGACCATACTAAAATATTAATTCGTCAAAGTTTGCAAAAATTAGTATGGTTTTTTTGGCGTTTGTCAAAATTAGAACTTTCATCGACGTTTGCTCAAAAACGCCTGAACCGATTTCAAACATTTAAAAGCCAATAAATGTATTTCGACGTGGATTATTATTCTTAGTTTTGTGCGATGACCGGCTGAGTCGTTTCTTTGTAAATAGCAAAAAAGTGAAAAATAATTCGTTCACGTTTTAGCTCTCAATTCTGAATAAATTTTAAAAAATCAAAAACTGTGCTAAAGATATTGGTTGGAAATGATACTGATTAGTTTCAGATAAAAATCTACCGGACCGTTTTCTTGAAAATAACTGTTGAAAAAAAATTCTTTCCCAATTTTATAAAACTTTTTGGATAGATATCATGGTATTATAAATCATACTAAAATGTTACAGCCGTATGACAAATAGTTTAATATTAAAAGTTCATCAGAATTTGTGTCAAAATTGCTTTTGTGATGTGATGAGTCAAACATTATCAATTCATAAAAATTTAAAATAATAAGCTAAGCTACAATTTTAGGGCATACAAGCACATGTATTTTTCAGAAAAAAATGTATTCGAAATTGCAATGTTTAAATTTAATTCAAAGTGATAACTTTATTTTTGAAATAAACAGTTGAAATTTTATCTAAATATCTAAATTTCAAATTCAATTGATTAAGTCAAATCTTACACATTTAGGGAAGTTCATGCAACTTGACTTAAGGCTAAATGCCACTTTCAACTAGTTAAATTTTCAAACACAAACACAAATATCACAATATATGAAAAAATGAACTTCAAAAACTAAACATAATTTACCTGGAATATCTTCCACTTGTGCATTATATTCAGGATCAGTTTCTTCATCATCTTCTTGATGTTGACCTATATGAATGTATATATGTATGAATATATATGTATGAATATATATATATATATATATATATATATATATATATATATATATATATTAAAGCAGGTCAATTTGTATGCATCAAAAAAAGTCACTTAGGCACATATGATTTTTAGACTTAGGGATCAAAATAAAATACTTTTCTGAAGAAAGTAAATTCTGATGTCCCGTGCATAGACCAAAAGATAAGGGTTAAAATTTGAAAAATTCCATTTTGACCCACTAACTTTGGAAGGCCGATCCACCCATGCCCATGGTTCAACCCCTGGGACCTCAATGAGAGGTTTCTCAAAATTTAACCCTTATCTTTGGGTCAATGCACGAGACATCGGAATTCATTCTAGAGGTATGGTTTCTTCAGCAAAGTATCTTAATTTAATCCCTCGAATCCGAAAATCATGTATGCATAAGTCACACACACACACGTATATATACACAAATATATATATATATATATATATATATATATATATATATATATATAAAACCCTTCATGAATACTACCACATCATAACTTAGCTTTGTATAGTAATACTAATTTACTAAATTAGAATAAATAATAAATGTAATAAAAATTTACTAAATCTGGTTTTAATTTCTTGTTTATAATAAAGCAAATGTTTTTGAATAAATCAGCAATTCCAGATAAAATTGCAAAAATATTGGTATATTTGGAGGAAGGTAACCTTACATCGCCTAAGTCGTACCATGGCTATATTTTGTCTGATAATTATTGGAAGGCTATGCCCTCTTGTAAAACTGAATTGACAAACTCTTATTTATACCAGTTTAATAGAAAGCATTTTATGGGTTTCTTAAAATATATAATTGATAAATACAGTATTCTAAAGTTTTAACTTGAATTGAAAATTTTAAATGGGCGTAACCAACAAAGGTTGTATATCTCCTTAAACAATTCTATAATCATTCTTAGCACCTAAAGACTTAATAATTGTGTAAGTACATTTGTTACTTTTTGAGTTTATTTTATTTCAGGTGTTTTTTTTTAATAATTATGTTCGGCTAGTTAACTAATAACTTAAAGAAATTTATCTCTAACTAAATTCTGTACAGTTTTTACAGTAGGTACTACTAAGGCTTTATAAAAATCAAAATCAAAATCATAGCAAAAGCACATTTTAGAAAAACAAAATATTTATTACAATAAATAAAAATAAAATGATAGTAATATTTAATCATAAGCCAGCTAACTAAAGATTCAATAACGCTAAAGGTTTCTTTTTAAAATTACTTGAACTAAACTAAAGATTGCAGCTTCAAAAAAAAAAGAAATGTTATACATATACTAATCAAATATACATACGTAAAGGCTCCGTAAATTCGTGTAAAAAATCTTTCCACACTCCATCGACGTCATCACAATCATACATATCACTGGTAATGTCAGGTGGAATAAATGCTTTCTCTATAGTCTCTATATGTGTGCTGCTCAAACATAACTTAGATCGAGTTCTTAATGCAATAGTTTCATCATCAATAGAAGAAGTCTATGAAAAAATTGAATACCATGTTATTTACAAGAAAAAGAGCATAGCAGACTAATAATAAAATATACTTGCAATTTTTAAATTAAATAAATGCTTGAAAAATGTATACACATTTTTATAGCTATTAATGAATTATAAATATACATTTTATGCATTTAAAAAAAATATCAAGTGAGAATCTTTAAAGCCAGCATTGAGTCAATGAATTAAACTTCATTTTCTAAAGATGTAAAGATTTCTACTTTTTATTTTATTATATCATGCTAGCAAGTTCTTAACTGGTTTTATATATTCTATAAATTTGTTATAGTACCTCTCTTACGATTTTATTAATTTTTTCACTTTCAAAATAATATCTTGAAAATAGGGCTAAATGCAAAATTTAACCAAAATAATACTCATACTCATAACAGCATAAATCACAATATTGAAGAAAATGTTTGTGTATATATATATATATATATATGAGTGAGTTCTTCCTGGTATGATATGTATAAATCTTTATATAAAATTTTATTTTCAACATTTTCTTGGTTAGTTTGAATATTTAATACACACTGAAAATGAGGCATACCATGGTCTCGAAACGTTTGTAATTATTAAATAAAGTTGTGTTAAAAATCTGAGTATTGCTTTGTTCTATATATTTATATATATATATATATATATATATATATATATATATATATGTGTGTGTGTGTGTGTGTGAATGTGTGTGAACTTGTGTGTTTTGTTTTTCATGAAAATCATATGAATGGTACTCAAGTAGTTTGAAATAGTATTATTACCTGAGGAACTTTGAACAAACTGTTATTAGTGCAATTAGTATCGCAATCCGCAGCCGATACATCAACACCTTGTGACGTATTTGCAGACACATTCAAAGTTGATTCAACATCACTAGCAGTTGCAGCAGATTCTTTTTCATCATCGCTCTTGTAAATAATGATTTACAATATAATATAGAAAATATGTATATTACATGTCTTTCAAAATTAAATTTATACTTACACTACTTAATTTATAGTAACTAATTCTGTAAAAAATAGTATTTCTCACTCCACTCTAATTGCAAATGTATGTACTCAAAATTGAAAAATATGTAAAAAATAATTAAATGTATTGATTAAATACAACGTTTGACCCTTATTTGAGTACATACTAATATTTAATTTTACAAATTCTGGAAACTTGATCTTAATCTGAAAATACTTCAACAAACATACATACTCATGTGTCTTTCTGTCCCACCCCACAAACTTTTGTTTCAATAATAAAAAAAACATATCAAAAGAATACATATAGAAGCACTAAAAACCATTTACTATTTAACAGTATAATAGAAATTATAGCTAAATATTAGACTGATTGATATCTAAGCTATTGAAATAAAAATGGAATCCTGAGGTTTTTCAATTTTCAACTTACTTAGGTTATCATTGAAAAATCATACATAAAACTATAATTACTTTACATTGAAAAATAATGTTCAATTTTAAAGGTTTAATTGCAACAAGTACAATTTGAAAATCAACAATATTAATATTGCTAAATAATTTACCCCTCAGAATTCTTGTAATAAAATATTTTATGCTATTTATAACTTTTGGGTGCTAAGAACTCTAAAAAATCATTTAATACATTGATATGCATTTATGATTTTATTATATCAATTGACTTTATTAATATCTTTATATAGATGGGTTTTAAAATTTTTGATATGTTTGTAATTAAAACTAGTTTGAAATCGCAAACTACTTACTACATTATCGTCATACGGTTTATATTCCTCGTCAGAAGAATCATCTGGCAGTTCCTCGTTTATGAGAGCGGCTACTTCAGGCGTAGTAGTAGGTTGAACGGGACTGACAACTGGTATTGGCCATGCAACAGGCAAATCCTTTTGTTGAAGCTCTCTGGAAAACAATGTTGATATTATTTGATATTTTAAATATTCACTGAAACATAATTATATAAAACATACAAAAACAATTCTTCATCAAAGAAGTACATATTTATAAGCAAATTAACATTATCAAAAAGTGCAAATTATTATATTGCCATCTTTTGTTTTAGAAATTGATTTAGAAATTTTTGTATCTAGTAGTTCACCAAACCAATAACTATAAAAACATTTGAAAAAGTAGGTAACTATGAAAAACATAAATGTCAGAAAAGTGACATAATTGAAAATTAATGACAGGAAAATAATTTTTATAACATATATGTTTTAACCTATTAGCTTACCATCTCAAAACCTTGTTTTATTACAAATGCATTTGCTAAATTTTATTGACAATGTTTGATACTTAATAGTTTGTTTTCTTACAAAATAGAATCAAATGTTTAAATGTTTCAAATTTATTGAAACATATTCTGTCATTTCAGTTTTCTAAATACTTTTGAAAAATAAAAACTAAATGATACATATTACAATCATATAGTATATCCTATTATTTCTAATATTGTTATTTTGTTATATTTTGTTTTTCTAGTACTATTTTATTATTCAGAAATTTTATTTATATTATGTATTAATTTTATTTTTATTATTATTTGCTTTTATTTTATATTAAATCATCATATATTATTAAATCATCATATATACATACAGATATTATTTTAATGTAAATTCTATCCTTTGCACTCTTATTTATTTAAATTTATGTTAATATTTATCATTATTGCTAGATGTTAATTATTTAACAGTTGTAATAAATATTGTAATTAAAATATATATATATATATATATATATATATATATATATATATATATATAGTATATTCAATCGAATGTTTATATGGCATATTTTAAAACTTAAATGTGCTGAAAACTAGTTCCTGATAAAATAGACAAGAACTCCAACAAACATGTATATAAACAATAAAATAACTTGAAATTATACTAGGCCCAATAAACTAAATAAACAGCCACTAACATATTTAAATCAAAAATAAATACTAATTTGAGCAGTACTATACATACTGCTTGAATTGAATTAATATATTTAACCTTAAATTAAATAGAAAAAAACATTTATTACAACTTGTTAAACAATCATTATCTGGCCTATTTTATTGTAACAAAAGTTAATATTATTAGATAAATGTGTGTAAACTTACTTCACTTTAGAACGAGTAAGTGGTGTAATATTAAGTAAGTCATTCGCATTCTTTCCTTCAGATTCTTCATTATCTTTCTCCGACTCTTTTAACTTCACAATAGCCAAAACATGTTCATTAGACACAACACGCTAAAATCAAAATGTATATTAAACTTTCATTTATCAAAATAAATTCATTTAGTGCAAAATGTTGACATTTTAAACTCAAAAACTATGAGATTATATATATATTACCGTAAATAAATATTAGACAGTAAATAAATAAAGAAATGTTTTTTTAAAAAAAATGTTTTTATTACTTTTTGGATTCTTTAAATATATATATATATATATATATATATATATATATATATATATATCTCGTATATAAATAAAAGGAAATAATCATAAAATGAAAGAAACAAACAACGTTTATCATTAGGAATGGCATCATTTATACAAACTTTTAATATTTTGCGAACATTAGCTGCTGTCAAATTATTTTTAGCTGCTGCTTGTTCTAACTGATTATTGATTTTAAGAACTTGTAGACAATTCTCTAATTTGTTCTCACTTTTAACACTGTCGCTGGCCCTGTTAAACAATTATGATAGCTTTAAATATAGTACAAAAAAACTGACATTAGCAATAAACTGTTACCTTTTATTAGCTTTAGCATGCTTTATGATTTTGGTACTCCGAGATGTTTTTTGTGGTTTGTCGTTTGAATTTTTGTCGCCACTCGATAAAGAATCTTTATCCAAATCCTTAGCCATTTTGATATTTTGATATTTTAACTTTTTCTCTTCATTATGAACTATGTGATATAAAATGAAATAAACATTTCTAGATATTTCGAATTAAATATCTATACACAACTATAAAACAATAAAATAAAATATGATATATAGTACAATAAATGTTTTATAACTGACAGTTCTTCGTCTGGACTCTACTGTCATCCAGAGATAATAAATAAAGCCGCACACACAGAGTGCACATCACAAAGATACGCGCCATTTGATTTGTTTACACATTTTTAGGCGCCAAACTCGTTGAACAGAAATCGTTATGGCTCGCTCGCTCGCTCAATTAAGGTGCATCCACACCTAACGAACGAACACGAACGAACATAAATGAACGTATCAGAACGAACGGCAACAGCATAGTGTGGCGCCACAACAATCACGAACGAACATAAACAAACATGGCGAGCAATGTTCCGCAACTTGTCGGTACATCAAGGTGCGTCCACACCTAACGAACGAACACGAACGAACATAAAAGAACGTACCAGAACGAACGGCAACAGCATAGTGTGGACGCCACGACGATCACGAACGAACATAAACAAACATGGCGAGCAATGTTCCGCAACTTGTCGGTACATCAAAGGGAATTGTTCGTTCATGTTTGAACTCGTATGTGCAGTGTGGACGTCTAAACGAACGCAAACGAACATTTTTGTTTTAATAATTTAATAATAATTTTTTTCCTATAATATGGGAGACTAAAGACCCTTTTTATAAAATTATTAGAAAAAAAAAACGATGCTTGGGAAAGTGTAGGCAGAACGTTTGGGATGTCAGAAGCTGCAGTAAAGAAGAAATTGCAGTCTTTACAAGTAAATATTAAACTTGTTATCATACATAGACATTCAACATATATGTTGAGGATGAGAGTTTGAAAATTGAGTATAGTTAGGCTCAAGCCTGGAATGTTCAGCTTGCTCCGAATATGAATGCTGAGGAAAGAAAACGACTCAAAATATAAATATTAAATACAAAAACTGAGTGAAATTAATTGAATAATTTATTTACAGTATATTTACAAAATATACACGAACAGAAATCACACAAAAACCAGTGAAAATGCCGTATGATTAAAGCTTACATTCATATCAATAATAAAACTGACGTTTCACGGAACATCTACGAACAACGAAAATTCAAGCGCTCACTGCTCTTAAGCGCTTGTTTAAGTTCGTTTGGAATTTTTCGCGTTCGTTCGTGTTCCTGTTCGTTCTTCTTTGTATTTTCTTGTTCGACATGTTCGTTCGTGTTCGTTCGTTAGGTGTGGACGCACCTTCAAAGGGAATTGTTCGTTCATGTTTGAACTCGTATGTGCAGTGTGGACGCTACCACCGAATGTCAACAAACATTTTTCTTTTTTGATGTTAAAATGTGCAGTCCTGCATTAGTTTATGTTGTGTTTATTATAAGATATTGCTGTTATTGACGAATTTTGTAAATTTGATGACTTTAAATAATCTTGCTCTTTCCCGCCACTTTCACGGTACAACCTCGAACAAAAAAATTCAAGCCCTCACTGCTTTGAGGCGTTTGTTTGGAATTATTCGCGTTCGTTCGTGTTCCTGTTCGTTCTTCTTTGTATTTTCAGGTGTTCCACACCTAACGAACGAACATGAACAAACATAAAAGAACGTACCAGAACGAACGGCAACAGCATAGTGTGGACGCCACAACGTACACGAACGAACATAAACAAACATGGCGAGCAATGTTCCGCAACTTGTCGGTACATCAAAGGGAATTGTTCGTTCATGTTCGAACTCGTATGTGCAGTGTGGACGCTACCACAAATGTAGACAAACATTTTTCTTTTTTGGTCTTAAAATGTGCATTAATGCATTAATTTATGTTGTATTTATTATAAGATATTGCTGTTATTGACAAATTTTGTAAATTTGATGACTTTAAATAATTTTTCTCTTTCCCGCCACTTTAAATAATAAATCTGACGTTTCACGGTACATCCTCGAACAAAAAGATTCAAACCCTCACTGCTTTGAGGCGTTTGTTTGGAATTTTTCGCGTTCGTTCGTGTTCCTGTTCGTTCTATTTTGTATTTTCTTGTTCGACATGTTCGTTCGTGTTCGTTCGTTAGGTGTGTATGTACCTTTACACGAATCCGTACGGCGAGTCTGTTCGCAAAGTGCAAGACAAAATTATTTTCTTATACAAATAATTTGTAAGTTTGAAGTTTAATTTGAAGTACAAATAATTTGCAAAAAAGATGGATTGCAATACTTATTTTAAAGAACAAAATACAAAAGATAATGAAGCGTTATTATCACAAGATGGGAAAATTTTAGACCCGAAATCTTATTTTAATGTATACTATTGCTGTTTGGACAATATTAATTTCACAAACCAAACAAAGATTTCAAAACCTTTGCGACGTAAGTAGTAACATTTGTCTTTTTGAAATCGAGAATCAATAAACGTTTCCGGAAAACTGTCGACTGAATTACTGTAAAGAAATATTGTAAAATATCTCATATGGTCATGACCAATTGATAGTTCTAGAAATGGGTTTGAATACAGAAATCTAAGAAATTTCTTTCATTAAGGTACAATGATGGATGCAATAGGCTTGCATCCAGTTTTCTCAACGAAATAACAGTATGCATTTTTTCTTGGCCCTTAATTACAATTTACAGTTGAAATCGCAACTGCTAAAAAAAATTTTTAAATTAAAACTAATTAAAATTACGTAAATACTTTAGGTAAATGTCTACCAGACTTGTATGTTCCTAGAGACAGAAACTTTATAAAATTTAAAGATCACTAAATAAGTCAGTTTTTCAAAAAAAGGTAAGGTGACTGAAAATATATCGGGAATCATTTGTGAAAAAATCATAAAATTAGAAAAAATTAGATAGATAAATAATTAGAATGATAAATAATTTAATATTATGTATTTCTATATTTTGTGAAAAAAAAATTTCTTCTTGAGGGGGCCCCTAAACAAATTTTGATACGGGGCCCCGCCAAAGCACGCTACGCCCCTGCATGTGATATCAGTAAAAACAATTAATTATTCTGCAAATTAGTATATTATTGTTCTGCTTAATGTTTAATGTACTTATTAAATGTTTCTTCGTTTGAAGTTAATGTGGAATCGATAAAGAAATTATCTAGTGTTCAATCCCGTAAGCGCAAACCTACGAAAGTTTAAAGTATTGGGCATTATTTACGAAAAATTGCGAGCTGATTTAGTATGAACGGAACTTGTTAAAAAATAGATACGAATTATAATAGAGAAAAATGGAAAATGTTTTTGTTGAAAATGTTTAACATCTGATGAACTTTAAACGTTGAAGACATGCGTGGTTAGGTTCATGGAAATATGAAAAATGGAAGCAAAATGTACTTAGTTAGAAACAAAAATCGTAAGCTTTTTTATACCTAGTGGTGTCCATTCTAAATTTAATTATTAACTAATACCATTTGAAAGGTTAATAAAAGGGCTACAACTTTTTTCATCATAATTTTTTTTTTTGTAACTCCTCTCGTTTTGAAACAGCGAACGGTTAAAGGGCTCGAGAGAGACTCCGATTGCGCGGCCGCGCGCTCTTTAAACAATCATAAACTTTGTCATTTTTCAAATAAGTTGATTTTTTAAAAAAAATCGGAAAAATTAAAGTTTTTATAAAATCTTTAAGTTTGTACTGAAGTAGTCAATCTGCTAGAATTCATCGTCTATAATGAAGTGAATTCTATATATGTATTCTGTATATGCTTCTTATTTGCATGATAGCTCACTCATTTTGCACGCAAAAAGCTTGTAACAGCACTCATTTTGAAGCACATGAATGAACACGGGGTATTTTAATATTGTCTAGATTTTAAAGCTTATGTTGAGAACTATAAAACCCAATTTCACTGAAATGTAAAACTTCGCCACTAGATGGCTTTAAATACAACAATTAAATCTTGACCGAAATAAAAAACGACTTTGCTCTTTCAAATCTTGCTTAATATTATTCATAGAACACTTTATAAAACACCGATTTATTAAGGTTTTTATTGACATTATTTTGTTCATTACATGATTTTCGTTAGAATGTATATTTTATGAGATATTAGCAAAAAAACGAAAATATATGAATGTTTAGTGGCCAGTAACTTTAAAATTATTAGTTTTTTTGAAAAACTATAAGAGACATTTTTTGCTTATAATTAACTTCCCGTAGGGCAAGTTGTAGTAATCGCAAAAAATCGAAAATGAAATTTTTTATATATTTTTACGTTTCAGAGGTTTCTGAACATTTTGGCATACCTTAAAAAAAATGAATGTATGTGTGTGTGTGTGTGCGTTTTTCGTCGACGTTTTCGGGAACACGGATCAACCGATTTGAATAATTCAAAAAACATTCGATTCGTATTGATAAGGAGACGTGCTGATTAGTTTTTGGCGAAGGTAGGTCTAACCGTTGCGAAGATACGGGGCAAAAAGTGCCGAAAACGGTAACTCAGTTTTTAAGAGAACGAAGCGTCCGATTTGAATAATTCAAACAACATTTCACTTGTATTGACAAGATGAAGAATTGATCAAATTTTCATGAAGGCAGGTCTAGCGGTTTCGGAGATCTAATAAAAAAAGTAAAAAAAAAAGCCATTTGGCGGTTAAAAATGATCATTAGACATATGCACATCAAATTATCAGATATTTTATAGAGATTTTAACAATAAGTATACATGTTTTTTACTTCCTCATGGGTTCCGTACCAATGTTTATGCGTCAGACGGCGGCGCGGCACTTGCGCGCTTTGACATTTCGTCTCTATGCAGTTCAAGCAGCTTTGAAAAAAAGTTCAGAATTTCCAAAATATTTCAAAATGAAGAAAACATTTTTCTTTTCAAAAAAATTTTGTTTTCAAAAAAAAAAAATTTTTTGTCAAATTTATAGTTCCTCAAAAATCTAATTTTTTCGAAGTAATTTTTTTTCAAAAATGTTAATCGTTTTTAAAAAAATAATAATTTTTGGTACGGGAAGTTCCAGCAATTTGCCTTAATTGCCTTAAGACAGAATTCCACTTACAGCTAGTTAGTTCTTCTATCGATTTCCTACGTTATTTTGAAAAAATGTAATTACACAATTGAGAAGGG